AGGTTTATATCACATCCTGCCCTCAAGCTCAACCAAAGTTGGTTCTGTTTGGGTCTCAATTCTGCTCTTGAAGCAATCACTGTGGCAAGCTGACAGAAGCTCTAATTAACTGAGTTAAATGCCCACCTCCCACAGGAGGGGTGGAGTTAGCCTGTCTAGAACTGCACTGGCTGAGTGGAAAAGAAGCGATTTCCCAAGAAAATGAGACTGAAGTTGCTGGACCATAGGAGATGCTGGAGAACGTGAAAACACCAGGTGGTCTTCCTCAAGTTGAGTTGGTAAGGTCCTCCTTTCCCACCCTTTCACAGACACAAACGTGCTCCGATAATGTGGAGGAGCTGCTGAGATCTTGGAAAATTCTGAGTATGTATACAGACTGAGTAAACCTCAAGCCAGGGGTCCCCATATGGCACATCCCTGGCTGGGGGTGGGGTAGGGCTAGTGGACTCAGGGCTGATTCCTGCTGAGCTGAGCTCTGGATGCACATTCTTTGTATCCTGGTGCATCCTTAATGAGGGGCTTGGGAACTTCTCCGACTCACCATTCTAATTACCACTGGTATCAAGTTGATTAAGTCTATGCATCTTATCCTTCAGGAATATTTTGACTTTTCTTTCACAGAAATTTTAAGACAAGTTGGTCAGTTCTGCAATAAAGAACTTTTTTTTCTCAAGTATTTTGGAGGTTTGTATTAAATTTGCAGAAGAATTTAGGGATTTTGGCTTTTTTTAATTCTAAGTCATCCAATCCATCATTATGGTAAATCTTTCTATTGATTAATATCTTATTTCATGTCTTCTAATGAAAAGTTTCCTAAGTTTATTCATGAAATTGGGCAATATTTTTTAAAATATATTTCAGGGATCTTTGTATTTATAATTTTTTTTTTTCCTGTCAAAAGTTCCCCCCCCCCCCATTAGACTTTTTATTTTCCTGATTGTTGCTGGCATTTAGAAATATAATTGATATACACACCAATAGGTTTTCTATATGATTACTTTGCTAAATTATTTTAATTCTAATAATCACCTGCAAATTCTTTTGAGTTTCTATGTAGACAATCATACTGACTATAAATAATCATTTTTTTTCTCTTTCTTTTGGAATCCTTATACCTTTATTTCTTCTTTTTTGTCTTATGGTACCTTCAAGGACATTGATCTGATGTTGAAATTACCGTCCTGAGTGATGAGAATTGACAGTCTTGTCTTTTTCTTGAAGGCTGCTCCCACATGTGAAGTCAGTTTTTTAGAAAATATATCAGGCTGGGGCTGGGTTTATAGCTTAGTGGTAAAGGGCTTGCATAGCATATGCAAGGCACTGGATTTGAACCTCAGCACCACATAAAAATAAATAAAATAAAGGTATTGTGTCCATCTACAACTCAAAAATATTTAAAATATATATATCAGGCTGTATATTTCTGACATCCATTTTCACGGTACTATACTATACATTAATAAAAACTAAAAAGAAAAAAAATTAGGAATCATCCTAACCTCTTCTTATTACTATGCACACTAAGGATGCCACTGAGCAGGTTTCAACTTGACTCTACGTTACTGGGGAAAATAAGTCTTAAGTAAGAACACAGATGATTGCTGCCATGGACTTGGAACTATCAAGATGAGGAAGGGACACAGGGATGGTCTCAGTAGCTCCAGAACCAAATGAGAGGTGACGTGGAAGCAGAGAGAAGCAGATTTCCACATAGCAGAAAGAAAAAACTATCATTGGTATCTAACCAGAGAATAGATCGCTGTTTGATAGTGAAATGAAAGTATTCAAGAGAACTGGATACATATTTCAAGGATACTGTACAGGACTCTCACTTCCAATATGGTGGGGGTATAGACCTTGCCATGTCTTCTGTCTCCTCCAACTTCAAGCCTGAGGTTTTTTAAAGAATTGGGTTCATTCAATCCTACTTGAGAGGTTACTCTATTTTCCTATAGTATTTAGAAAACTGAATTTACAATAAAGTTAACAAAGACAAAAGTTTGTTCTTTGTATATGGTAATAGCATTGGTACACCCTTGCCAAGTATGAGCATGAAAAAAACAGAAGAGAAAGAAAGAAAACAGTATTAGAATTTCTTTCTCCCAAAGAAACACTTAGCACCTATTATAAGTGTGTATTTGATAATCATAGAATAAATATAGTTATATTCTTTATTCTTCTTTTCCAAATCCTTAAACTTACCTGTGTTTTTTGAGGTTTCTAGGCATATATATCCACTGTTTTATAATTTTTTTAAAAAAGTTTTTATTGGTGCATAATAATTATACAGAATAGTGGTTTCATTGTAGCATATATTTTTTTCTATAGTCTTCACAAGTAACAGAAATAGATAAAGTGATCTTTTCATTAATTTGAAATCTTTCTTTTTTTTAAAGCTTTACTAATGGGGTTGACTGCCCTTTTTTCTAAAATAGGAATTTTCAACGAGGTTTTACAATTTTTTGAAGATGAGGGATAATTCTGATTGCATAGTTCCCTCTCCCCCCCCCTTTTTTTTTACTCTTTCATTCAACCCAGCGCCTTCTTTCTAGCAAATCTCCAGTTCGTTAGCAGATAAAAATACATCTGCAGAGTCTCCCAGAAGCTGCGCCATCAGCCTTGTAGCCAAGAAAGAAACCTCCTTTCTTGTGCTGCTGTAGAAATGTCTTCCTCTTCCTCCTCCTCCTCCTCCTCCTCCGGCTCACAGGGATCAAAGTCCCTTTCATTCTTGGATCGTTTTTCTCGGAGAAAATCTGGAGTTCAGACAGGGCGAATACTTGAAGGCAGGTCTGGAGCCATGGCGCGCCTGTCCCCTCCACAACCCCGGCAAAGCTGCGCCCCCTCGCCGTGCGCCTTGAGAATACGCCAGCCAAGCAGAGAAATCCGTTACCAGGCTGCGGTGTCCCCAAAGGCCATTCCAAGGCGGAAGAAGACCAGGAAAACCGCTGTGTTGATTCCCCCGCCCCTTGGGCTGGGCGCTCAGCAGGTCAGGTTACCGACAGGTGAGGCCGTCGGCCGGTTAAGCTTCGGCCGCTAGAACACCTCTGGCCAGATGTTCCCACTCCGCAACCCCCAGTAGCTGGTACCCCAGAGAGGAGCACCTACAGTGACCAGGCAGGGCAGGTTGCCTTGGGCGTATCGGAACTGGGCCTTGGAAGGGGCAGCGCCGCTCCCAAAAATGAGAATACCGCCCTTAGAAACTTAACATCTTTTACCAACCCCTCTTCTTTCTTTTCCTCCCCCTTCCAGGAATAAAGTAGATAGAGAAATGCAAATAAAAATAATAACAAAACTTTCCAGCCACCTCCCCGGTAAAGAGGAGAAAGAGGGTGTAACTGCATTCAGTTCCTGACTTCCTGAAATGCATTTTCTAGTCTTAGAATTTGGGGATCAGGTGGTTAGGGGAGGCAATAATGTGAGTAGGCGAGAACTGGAGACTTGCTTTGAAGCTGCGTTTGCATAACCTGCACTTGGCTTTTGTTTCCACCATGTATTTATTTGGGGTGAAGGGGCTCTTGGGATGTAAGGTCTTGAGGCGGACTTTGCTTTGAAGGAGCAAGCCTTGTTTTTCTTAGATTGTGTGGCACAAATTAGTAAAATCACATATTCCAAAGACGCTACCTTTAAAAAAAAATTTTATTACTGTATATTCTGTTGTAGACAACCGGAAAGCTTAAACCCTCACGTTCCCCTTTACCAGGTTAGAGTCCCGAGGAGACTCTCGACCGCCTCCCACTTCCGACCACCAAAATTTCAGCAAGCCTCTGGAGCGATCCACAAGGTCTAGAGGAATCGAGCCATTTTCTGGCTTGCTTTTCTGAGACAAATCCACTCGGGAGGTGGGGGCCAACTCCCGGGAGGCTCTAACTCGGGGGAGGGGTGTCCCAGGGAGCAGACCTGCGGTTTACCTCGAGGAGTTCGTTCTGAGATGCACGTAAAGGGAGAAGGGGGCAGAGGGCTGAATAAAAAATGCCCTTCTTTTTTAAAAAAGAGGAGGGGGGAAGAATCAGACGTTAAATTCTTTTGCAAACATTCATGCCTAAGGAAGGGCTGGAACAGGCAGCCCCGGCCGCCGGAACCGGTCGGACAGGTAGCGAGCTTGTTGACACCGTTATGTTGCACGGCGCATGCTCACTCCCAAGTTTCCTGGTGCCTTTTCTATTCCACCTTATGAAACTTTTTTCCCGGCGTGGTCTCACCCGCGATTTAAGGCTTAGGTGTCGCCAAGCCCAGAGGCTGGGAGTCTCCGGGAGTGCGGGGGAGAGGCCCGGGCAACGCCGCGGCGGGGGGGGAGAGGAAGAGAGCAGGCGAGGCGGGAAGGTGGGCTCTGACCGCCGGGAGCTGGGGACCCAGCCGCCACCTCAGCCCCTAGGGGGAAACAGTCGAGAGGAGGGGGCCTCAGCCTGGCAAAGGGACCCCACCATGCCCAAAGTCTTCCTGGTGAAGAGGAGGAGCCCGGGAGTCACGGTCCGCAGCTGGGATGAGCTCCCGGATGAAAAAAGGGCAGACGCTTACATCCCAGGTGAGCGCGGCGCGGGGGCCGGGCCTGGGCGCGGGGCTCTCCGGGTGGGGGAAGGGGCGGACGAGTTCTCTGTACTCTTGGGTCGGGCTGGGCTCCCCCCACCTCATCTCCCTCTTTCGGGCGGAGGACGCTAGGGTCTTCCAGGCGGAGAAAAGAGGGCAGTGAGGCTGGGAAGCCTGGGACACCCTGCGCTCCCTTCCCCCTAGTGGGAGCCTCTAATTGCCCGGCGGCAGGACCGTTGGCTGCCGCGCGGGCGGAGGTGGCCCAGGAAGGAGGTTGAAAACCAAAAAGGGATACATTCAATCCCACGTCCTCAAGGGGGGTGGTGGTGCATGAAGGTCCGCCAACCCCTCTAAAGCTAGATTGGAAGAGGTCGGAGTCGCCTCCCCGGGCACAAGAAACTTGGCGCGCGGGGTCCTCCGCCGCGCATGACCCTCAGTTCCTCGTGAGCACTGGTTTGGGGCTAAGGATCTGACCCCAGCACCCCGAAGTAGTTCGAGGGGCCGAAATGGGTGTTTACTCGCATACCCCGGCGACATTGCCCACTTGGCCTGGTGCCCAGGTCCGGGGCGGGGCGGTGGCGGCGGCACCGCCCGCAGGTCAAACTGCCGCGGGCGCCCGTGCCTGACGCCGCGTGAGTGTGTCTATCGGTTGCGGCCCCTCCCTCCCTCTGCAGTGGTCCTGGGCTGTCTGCTCCACGACCCCCCCGAGGACTGCCGCAGCGACGGCGGCAGCAGCAGCGGTGGCGGCAGCAGCAGCAGCAGCGCCGGGGAACCTGGAGGCGCCGAGAGCAGCTTGTCCCCGCGCGCCCTGGAGCGCGAAACCCCCGAGCCCCGCGACGCCGAGGACCCAGATGGACACTTGGCAGCAAAGCGGCGCCCGGTTGCCAGGTCAAAAATCAAGGTATGGTGTCGACTCTGCCCCCGCCGCCACCTGCACCACGCCCTGGCGTCGGGCTCCCGGGGCCGGCGCCCCTCCCTGCCGCTCCCGCCCGCGCACCCCAGCACCCGCGCCCCAAGCTGGCGGGTCACACCTCTCCTGCACCTGCCCCTGGGCTGCGGCCAGGGCTTCTCCGCGCGTCCTCTCTCCCGTGCCGCTTCGCCCAGTGGACCCGCTTCCAAAGCGGACTCAATCCTTTTGGGTGGCCCCGCCTGACGCCGATAGTGGCCTCTAGAACTGTCAAGAGGGATCAAGGACCACTTCCTCCCTTTAGCAGCCCATTCTACGCACAAGGCCTGACTCATAACCAGGTTTTGGGATTGCAGGGTCAGAAAAAAAAAAAAAAAAAAAAGAACGAGGGCTTTCAAAAATTCCATCCTCTGGGGCGCAGCCCCCTGCGCCACGTGATTTAGAGTTTCATATCCTTTGTGTTTTGAGGCAGCTTAGCACACAGTGGGCCTCTGCAACCACAGTTATTCCTAGTACCAATTGTGGAGTGTTTAGACGGGTTGTACTGGGCACTTTGATTCGTTGTTTCTCTCAAATCTTGGTGAATTAAGTTGATGGATAAAAGGGTTTACATAAGAATTTCTTTAGAGCCTTTAACCCAGTGGTTTGGAGCGTCTGTTTCCCTTTTACTGTCGTGCTTCGGCGCTCCATCAAGATTCTAGAATTGTAGGCAACATTATTTAGGTACCCATGTGCGCTTTTTTGGGTAGACGTTCCATGATCGTCTGCTCAAAGGATCCGCTACCCCCCAGGATTAAGGAATCCCGTTCTACGGACTCACAGCCAGCCAGAAGTAGGGAGTGGTGTTTTATGAATCACCTGACCTGGGTTTCTAGCGTGGTGGGCTACAGTGCCACTCTGCAAGGTATGTGATAACTTTAGAACACTCCAGGGCGGTCCTGCCACCGTGGCCGGAGAGGGGGGTGGGGGAGATTGGGGTGGAGAATACAGCCTTAGCTGGGGGTTGTGAGAGCAGCGGTTAACTTTCCTGAGAGAGGCAGTCCCTCTCCCCATGCACATTCCTGGCTCCTGGGGCTTGACTCAGGGGTAGGCGGGGTTGCATTTGGTTATGAATTGTGGTTTGAGGCTAGAGCTAGAATCCGGAGGAAAGACCTCTTTAAAGGATATGGTCAACCGCGCCTGCTATTTAGCAGTCAAGAGTGTTGCTCAGGTTCAAAGTCAGTTGGCCTGTGGTGGTTCTGGGCCAGGTGGGGTTAAGTGGGTGGGAACGGTTTGCGTGAGGCTGGTAGCTCTGCCCTTTGGGAAATTCTACAAAGTGTCCCACTTGCATATTTATCACCAGGCTGGAGAGACAATCACAACCGTTGTTTTGGGAGGGACTGTAGCCAATTTGCCCCTCTGTCCCCCCACCCCACATTGCCCAGAATCCCCTGAAGAGAAACTGGGAGGTGTGAGAGAGATCTAGTCCCTTATCTAACATTTGAGGGCTTTCTTTCCTTCCCCAAGCAAATATCGTCATTGGAACCCTGGATTAAGGGAATAAATCAATCATTTCCAAGATCAGTCACTATGTTCTTGGGAGCTGGGAGGGTGTGTGTGGTGTAGTTTGCTCCTGTACCGTCTACAAGGATACTTCTCCCCAAAGTTTCCCAGGGCGTTTTTATTTACTGATAGCATTCGGGTTCCTTCTCTCTGCCTCTAACTCAAAGAGAGAAATCTTAGTATTCTTTGATCCTTTAGAATATCAGCCATGGTATTGGTGGGTTTTCAAGTGACTGATCAAGTTGTCCACAATTTAGCACCTTGTGCAATTCTAAAGTTCTTTGCAAGGCATGCTAAACTCAAAGAGTTTCTTTAAGAATTCGTTTCTTGGGCTGGGGATGTGGCTCAAGCCGTAGCGCGCTCGCCTGGCATGCGTGCGGCCCGGGTTAGATCCTCAGCACCACATACAAACAAACATGTTGTGTCTGCCGAAAACTAAAAAATAAATACTAAAAAAAAAAAAAAAAAAAAAGAATTAGTTTCTTAAGTGGAAGAGAAGGAAAGCCATTCAAGAATGAGGACCATTCATGATGCATTGCTGTTTGGGGTAGGGGTATTGAGGATGGAACCAGGGCCTCATGCTGGGCAAGTGCTCTACCATGAGCTAGGGTCCCCAGCCTGATGGCATGCTTTAATACCTCACTGGGCAGTGGGCTTTAATGATAGGAGTAAGGGCAAATTTGAGCCATTGTATCCTATACAGGGAGGCAACAAACCATCCTACTTTATGGAGTGCCTGCAGTATGCAAGGCAATGAAAACGCTCCCATCTGGGTGTTCCTTCTAGAATCCTCTTTCAGTTGTGGTGAAGCATCTAAGCTCCAGCTTTGTCAATTCTTAGCTTGTGACCTTGAGCAAGTTGCTCATCCTCTGGGCCTCAGTTTCCTTATCTGTAAAATGGGGGCTAACAATGATAGCTACCTAACAGAGTTGTGAGAATAAATAAGTTAAAGGTGCAACATGGTATGTGCCCAGTAACTGTAGATACTGTTTGGGTTGGTGGGGAAACATACATACTATTAACTATTATAGGAGAATGAATGTCCAACCAGAAACATAGGCAAAGATGTGATCACTTCCAAATAGGGAAGTTTGCTTGACATGGATTTGAAGGCTGTGGAAATTGCTGGCAGGGCAGGCTTTAGGGTGGTATGGGTTGAGCCCCACAGCTTGAGTAAGGAAAAGACTCAGAGCTCTGGTGACTAAATGATAAGGAGACACAGCTGTTGGGGAGAGTTGGAGGTATAAGGTTGGAAAAGGAGGACAGGGTGAGATGGTTCAGGGGGCCAAGCCAAGAAGCATGGATGCTCCTGGACAAGAAGCTCTGGAAGGTTTTTGAGAAGGAAAACGAAATCCTACCATCTGTCCTCATAGACAGTTTATTTCCTCAAAGCCTCTTCCCTGATCTGTAAAATGAGGAAATAATAGAACTGGACTTGGAAGCATGGTGTTGGTTAAATAGTTAGATAACAAATGCAAAATATTTAGCTCTTTTGTGCGTGCACAAACTGTCTAACAGGGAGTTGGCTGACAGTGACATACAGCAAGGTCTGCTAAGGTCTAACATTGTGTTGCCTGCTATAGGGACTTGGGATTTGGCAACCTGTTCTTGTTTATGTGGTGAGGGGATCAGAAAAGGAGTCCTGGAGGCAGGTTAGGAAATGTGGTCCATCCCAGCTGCCTTTTGACTGTGGACCTCAGGGCAAGTTGTGAAATTGTCTTTTTAATACCGAGGATTCTATCATTTTACAAAACAGATTGAGGTGGGGAGATAACGTATATCTAGGACAGTGTTCATGCCAGGTCTCTTTGATTCCTTTTGTGATAAAACCATTTGTAGATCTCCAGCTGTGGGTTAGAGAAACCCAGAAAATACTGATTACCTTTGTCCAGAGTCTTATCAAAAACAAAGTTTGGAATTAATTCAGTTGACTGATATTATTTATTTCCCAGTGTGGCTAGGAGAATCCAGAATCAAATACAGACTAGCAGGTGAAATTGTTCTCCTATCCATCCTGTACTTTTCTCTCTTCCTTCGGCCTCTCCTGTGGGTAAAAGAAATTGAGTTTAGTGGACACAGTGGTACATGCCTATAAACCCAGTGACTTAGGAGGCTGAGGCAGGAGGACTACAAGTTTGAGGCCAGCCTCAGCAACTTAGCGAGGCTTTAAGCAACTTTTCAAGAACCTGTCTCAACAATTAGAAGAGCTAGAGATGTAACTCAGTGGTAAAGCACCCTGGGTTCAATCCCCAGTATCCAAAAACAAAACAGCTGAGTTTAGAATTCTTTGAAAGTACTCTCAATCTTTTACCTATCTCTCTAGTGTGACTTTTCCAGTCGTGACAGATATATGAACTTGGAGTACTCTTTTTCTTCCCCATCACTTTTAATTATGGAGAATTTCAAAGGCAGAGTGGTATGTATCTGTCATCTAGCCCCAACAACCATTGCCCTTGACCAGTCTTGCCATACATACCTCCCTTTATCCTTCCACACATGACTTTGAAGTAAATCTCAGACGTCACTCTAAGTAATGCACGGAGTAACTGCAGACTACATCCATATACAGCTCTGGTCCCTGGAGATTACAATGTCTGGTGATTCTTAGCCAGCTTAGTTTGTGTAAGTGCACACTCTATGATGCCCACGCAATGATGAAATTGCCTAACAAGGTTTTCTGAGAATATATCCCTGGCGTTAGGCAATGCCTGACTGTATTGCGAGTATAAATAGTTCAGAATGTACCTCTAATAGGTAAATACATGCTCACACCCACATGAACTGTTGTTAAATATCTCATAAATTCCTACTCCCCCCCCCCAGTTTGCTTAACCAGGTCTACAATGATGTCTACACATTGTAATTGATTGGCAACGTTTTTCAGTCTTTTTTAATTGATGCGTTTTCCCTCCATTTCTTTTTATGTCCTTACAAGTTAATTGTTAAAGAAATGGGTTATTGTTTTGTGGAGTTCCCAACAGTCTGGATTTTGCTAAATGTATCACCAAGGGGTTTTAACATTCCTCAGTTCTGTTTTCTCTAAATGGATATTTGGCGCTGCAGCTGTACTGTCCAGTGTGATAGCCCTTGTCACATGTGGCTTTTTAGTTAAGTAAGATTAAAAATTAAGCTCTTTGGCCACGCTAGCTGTTTTTTTAGTGGCTCCCATATTGAACAGTACAGAATAGAATCTTTTGATCACCGTTAGAAAGTTGTATTGGGTAGTACTGTTCTACATGCTTGACCAGATTTATTTTATTTTGGCTAGAATATGTCACTGTGGGGTTGTATATTTCCATCAAGAGGCACTGAATATTTGTTAGCAACTGTTATGCTCAGTGGCTAAATATTTCGGGTTATCAGATATTGCAAAACAGTGATATTCCAGTTCTGTTCTTTATTTATGAGCTTACATATGTCTTTCTTTTTTTTTTTTTTCTTTTTGTGTGTGTGGTTTTAGGGATTGAACCCAGGGTCTTGTGCATGCTAAACATATGTTGTACCACTGAGCACATCTCCAGTCCCCTGGCTCATTTATTTATTTAATACCTTTGTTTATTTTTATGTGGTCCTGAGGATCATATCTCACGTATGCTAGGCAAGCGCTCGACCACTGAGCTACAAACCAAGCCCATTTTTTTTTTTTACAGAGAGACTTCCCCCATCTATTATTTGGTTTCCTTTTTAAAAAAATATTTATTTTTTAGTTATAGGTGGACACAATATCTTTATTTTATATTTATGTGGTACTGAGGATCCAACCCAGTGCCCCACACATGCCAGGCGAGTGCTCTACCTCGAAGCCACAACCTCCACCCCTTATTTGGTTTCTTATTGAGACAGTTCATCCAGGAAAGGCAGAAGAATGCTTGATTCCTTACTGTTATTTTTTTTCATTTTTTTATTAGTTGCACATGATAATACAATGATCTTGACATATTATATCCTTACTGTTATATATGAATGAAGATAATTAATTGGCTAACCAAAATTCTCCAGTGATGGCCAATTAGTTATTTCTAAGCATTGTTGTGAAACATGGTTTCAGGTTGTTTTTAAAAAACCTATCGATTTGATATTAGAAGGGAACATAAGTTCTGTCTCAAAACTCTTTGCCTCTTGTCACCTATCTACCAAGGCAGAATTGAATACTTTTCCTCTCTCCCCAGTGAAACTTGCTGACTATCTTCCTGTTGTATATTTGACTAACCAGACTTTTTTTTTTTTAACAGTACTAGGGATTCAACCCAGGGCTTTGCACGCTAGGCAACTGTTCTACTACCTCATTCCTAGCTCTTAAAAAAAAAAAGTAGGGATAGAATCTCACTAAGTTGCTGAGGCTGACCTTGAACCTGTGATCCTCCTGCCTCAGTTCCCCCAAGTAGCTGGAATTACAGGTTTTATAGCACTCTGACTAGACTCCTTAAAGTGTTCCCATCAAAGCCAGAGAATACTGCCTACTGTGCTCATTTCCCAGCACCTGGCAGTATTACCTGACTCATAGGAAGATACAAATCAACACAGAACAAGAATGCAGGCAAGGAAGACAATTCTCCCTAGACATGAGTGACAGCATTGAAGGAAAACACAGGAAAGAAGAGGAAAAGGGGATCTGGAAAAATGCTAAGAATGAATCATCAAGGTTAATTTATTTATTTATTCATTTATTTAGTTTTTTTTTTTTTTTTTTTTAAGTAATTTAGCCTTTATTTATTTTGCTGTGCTGAGAATGAAACCCTGGGTCTTGCACATGCGAGGCATACTTTATAACTGAGCTACATTCCCAGCCCCTCAGACCACTTTTAAATTTGTATAAAGGTGAAGTGGATTTTTATTGTTGGAAAGGATGGCGTGAGTTTAATTGCAGATAATAGAATCCACAGCAGCTAATTAAAACAAAGAATGAGTAGTTAAATGGTAGTAAATGAACCAAACTGGGCTCTCAGGAATGATCCTAAGAGCCCCACTGTAGAAATTAAATCACTTGTGGAACTATGGCTGCTGCCTCTATGGCTTGATGCTTCTGTTAATGAAGAGTGTAAGCTGACTGTCTCCTGCCTGGAATTGGGCAGAAGCCCAGTTAACTCAGGGTTGAAATCAAATCCCCCCAAAATGTGTGCAATTGGTAGAATCCAAGTCTCCTCTTAAACTATAGCTGCCAGGGAGTCTGGGAAATGTAGTTTGCAGCTCTCTAGCCCCTATAGTACAGGAAGGCCCAACAAAAGAAGTTGGAATTGATACTGAGATTGTCAAATCATAGGGTTCGCCGCTGGAAACTTGGAAACTTATATGGCCCAGACTCCTTACTTTCTGAGTAAGAAAGGAAAAGCCCAGAAAGTTTTCACTGAATTATTTGCAGTTAGCCAAAGCCCTACCCATGGGCTCTAAGTTCCTATCTTGGGATAGAATTTTCTGAGGTGATAGAAAAATTCTATCTCAAGTTTTCATTGAATTCCTCACAGTCATTAGTGGCAGAGCCCAACCCAAGTATCTTTATTTTAGCATTTTTGTGCATTGTGGGACAACTACACCATCCAATATGACATCCATGGTCAACATGTAGCTTTGACACTTCAGCCTTTATTGAGTCTGATGTTAAGGAATCTGAACTTGTTCCTCATGGAGATACAAGTTGGTTCATTTCTTCTCCCCCTTTCCAACATCAATCCCAGATCATGGACCTGTCCTGCCCTGACCTGTACTGAGGAGAGTATAATGCAAGTTTCACTTTTAAAAATCTCAATGTGGGTACCTTAGAGGCCAGGTGACCACAGATAGTTTATGTGTCTTTGAGCCTTGGTTTTATCTTCTGGCTTATAAGGAGGTATTCCCTTCATCATCTCTGCCTTTGAGGTTCTGTATTCTGCTTTGTTAGGGAAGTTGTGAAGTCTCAGCCTACATGTTAAATGGAGGGAAATCTGAATTCAAAAGAAGTTGGGAAAATATGCTAGCTTAGCATGCTGTGAGCATTCAGGCATAGGCAACATGTCAGTGGAAATCTTGTCCAAATGGCCACTGGAAGGTAGTCTTGAACTCAGAGTATCTTTCCACAGTAAATAGGACCACTGATTTTTTTTTTTTTTTTTTTTTTTAATGGTACTGAGAATAGAACCCAGGGCCTTATGCATGCTAGGCAAGTACTGTTCCACTGAGCCACATCCCCAGTCCTAGGACCATTCATTTAATAAACTGGTCTAGTGGAAAAATCTTAATGGAAAATGGAGTTGTTCCCCCGTTTTGTTGGTTTTTATTTAGAAGTTTGACAGGTAAGTGATCTTAGCCAGCTTTGAAGTTGGTCATAGAGCCAGGTGAGATCCCTGCTTCCTTGGGTGCTCCTGACATTTTCCGCAGCCCTGATATAATAATCATTTTGGTTTTGCTGCAGAAGTCTGTTCTTTTTAGAAGGACTTGAGGGGAATTTTGTTTGTTTTTTAAAACAAAAGCTGAGTTGGGTTTGGTAGCGTACCCTGTAATCCCAGAGGCTTGGGAGGCTGAGGCAGGAGGATCCGGAGTTCAAAGCCTGCCTCAGCAAAAGTGAGGCACTAAGCAACTCAGTGAGACCCTGTCTCTAAATAAAATACAAAATAGGGCTTGGGATGTGGCTCAGTGGTCAAGTGCCCCTGAGTTCAATCCCTGGTACCAATAAATGAATTAATGAATGAATGAATACATACATACACACAGAGATCTTGCAGAGAAAGGACTATAAGCAGAAGAATAAGACAAGCCAAAAACTTGGAAAATTGCTTATTTGCTCTTCATCTTTCTTGCCCTGAATTAATTTCCAGACTGATGTCATTTCCCATCCTCTAGGGTAATCTCCCCACTTCATTAATAAGACTTTACAAAGTGATAATTTTGTATTCAGGGTGAGACTATTAGGCTTTTTCAGAAAGTAGCATGATGTAAACACCACCCTTGGCAGGTCTGGAACAGTATCCTATAATTAAATGCATTAACAATTTCTGTATCAAAACACATGAATGTTGACACTACATGGAATAAAGTCTGCATATTTTCACATCAGCTCGGGTCAGATTTCACTGCCCAGGGAGATAGAAAAGAAATGTTAGTTTTTAGAGCTTTTGGGATTATAGCTTTGTGGATGAAGGACTGGGGGGTTTGTAGCTCACACTGAAGATTAGTTCTCTTGTTCTAAAACTGCAGAGAGAAAAATTCAAAAGCACACTGAGAAACTAAAGATTTTGACCAATTACCTTTTATTTAGGATCACAGATTTTTTGGAGCTGGTTTAACTGCAGTAGGTCTTAACAAGTGCCAAGTCTTTTTAAAGTAGCTTATCTTCCTTAATTCCTTAATTTATTTCCAAGAGGCAAATATCATGATTCATATTTTACAAGTGATGAAATTAAGGTTTAGAGGTTATGTAACTCGCCTATATTCTCAGACTGTAAGCTGTGGAGAAGGAATTGAACTTAGAAAGTTGGAAAACAAACCCTACTGTTAGCTCCTGATACTGCTAAAGAGATCACATAGGACCATTTAATATTTTTATATATAGGGAAGCTATGACCCAGGGATATTAAATAACATTTCACATCACACAAATAACCAGGGCTAGGTTTTCATCCGATTCCTCAGCATTTCTTGTATCCCACAATCATAACCAATATGACCAAAATGTAACTTAGGTCTCAGTTTAGATCTCAGATGTAATTTGGTATAGTATTTGTAGAATGGAGTAATAAGGGAAGACTGGTAAACTCTCCTTTGAACTTTTAGGAGGTAGAGTGTTTGGTACAAACTTGTGTAAACATAATAAAAGTGCCCAGTGAGCAAATATGTGACCTGGGGAGGGAGAATTGGTCCTCTGGCCCAAGCGATGTCCTTCCAGGAATCAGAAAATGTTTTGTGCATTGCATCCTATCCTGGGAGAGAACTCTAGAAACGTGGTAGATCTGGGCTGGGGGTGCAGCTTAGTGGTAGAGAATGAGCTTAGCATGTACAAGGCTGTGGCTTCCATCCCCAGCCCCAAAATGAATACAGTAAGTAATCAAATAAATAAATAAATATTTATGAAAAGTGACAGATCTGGTATTCTGTAAAGAATGTGATACATTTATTACTGTTCCAGTTTACCCAGTCTTGATACACAAGTAACCCCAAATTTGGTAACTAAAAATAATATATATTGTTTTCTTCAACTTGAGAAGGCTCAGCTGGGCAGTAATTTACCTGGGAGTTTATCTTGTGATTGCAGCTAGACGGCAGCTGGGGCTGGAGTCTACCAGGGCCTTCCCTACACTAGATATCCAAGAGGGCTCACTCAGAGGATTGGCAATTGATATGAACTGCCCCTGCCTCCAGTCTTTTCCTAGTTGCTTTGATTGAGTGGGTCTACCATCATTTTTTAATAAGTACCTTCTGATGGATATATAAGTAGTTTTCAGGCTATTATTATCACAGACCAAATTTCAAGGCACAAGATGTGAAATACAATTTTTGGAATAAATTTTTTATTTAGGATTTATACTGCAAATATCCCTTCCTCTCTGAGAAGTGAAATAATCTGGCAGGCCTGCTGATAGTCTGGCAGAAGCTCACTTCATCAACCATAATATTTTACCACTTAACTAACCTTGCGTTTTCTTTGAACAAGTCTCTCTCTAGGCTTTCAATATAATTTGTTAACATCTGGTGGCTGTGTTGGTCATAAGGGTGGCATGCAGTGCTTTGTGAATGGTAGGGTGTACCTCCCAGTGAATTCCCTAAAGGAGTCTCAGTGGTGGCTGTTTTCAATGCCAGGAAGTAGGGTTTACAAAAAGATGGAGAAATGGGAAAATAACCTCTGCTGCAGGATACTTGGAGACTTTCAACTTTTGCTGTAGGAGAACCACAGGAAAGCTGGGCATGGTGGTGCACATGTGTACTCTTAACTGCTCTGGAGGCTGAAGCTTTTAAAGGATCACAAGTTGAAATCCAGCCTGGGCAATTTAGTGAGACCCTGCCTCAAAATAAAATAAAAAGAACAGGGGATGTAGCTTAGTGGTAGAGTACTTCTTGATTCAGTCCCTATACTAGAGGGATTTAAAAAAAAAAAGGAGAAAAAGAGAAAAGTATTGGCTGGGTACGTAGCTTGGTGGTAGAGTACTTGCCTAGCATGCAAGGGGACTTGAGTTTGATCCCTAGCAACACAAGGGGAAAAAAATAAAAGGAATTTACCAAAAAGATTAAGGTAAATAAAAAGTAAACAAGTGTTCAGGTTTTAATTGTGGTTGACAAGACATTCAAAAGACAGTTCAGTTCTAGGAGCTGCATATAGTGGCATATGCCTATTATCCCAGTGACTCAGTGAGGCAGGAGGATCACAAGTTCAAGGTTAGCCTTGGCCACCCAGGAGAACTTCAGCAACTTAGCAAGACCTTCACTCAAAATGAAAAGGGCTGGAGATATAGATCAGTGGTAAAGCACCCCTAGATTCAATCGAGGTACAATTTTTTTTTTTTTTTTCAAAAATAAAGCCCTGGAGTTTTACAGACTTTATATTGGAATTGTGAGGGAGGGTGCGTTGTCTCTATTCTTTTTCATTAGTCCCTTACTATCTCTCACTTTACCTTATGTGGATGAGACCGTCAGAAGCTCAAAGTACTTGTGGAACACGTTTCCTCTCTGAGAAATCCCTTGAAGGGAGGCAGTGATCTGGATGGGAATTGCCGGACAAGGAGACCATGTCCTGGTGCCAGGAAAACCTTGGTCATGGCTGGGTCTTCCTCAGGCCAGAGTCAGTCCTCTGGGAGAGGCAGGACAGAGGCAGGGCAGCAGCACTTCTGAGGTGTGAGGCAATAGGGGGTCCAGGATGGCCAACCAGTTGGGCCATCCAACTTGACCCCTGTGACTATCCTTTGCCTTCCAGGGGTACCCTCCTATATATATCTCAGCTCCGTTAGGGTCGCCCAGGTAGATCCCTGAGGGGATCCTACCTCTCTCCATTACTGTTACTTTCTCCATTAAATACTTTCCAGGCTCTGGCTGCCCCCACTGAACCGCACATGGTCCCTTGTTTCCCACTCTCCTCTCCCCAAACACTCTTTGCCATTTACCTGTGTTCCTCCTCATCGCTGCATGGCTGAGGGGCTCTCTTTCTCTGGAAGCATCTTCCCCAGGACTCTGCATCTGGAGTTGGTGCTTGCCCGAGGTGTCTCTGGCCTGTCAGATCTCAGTTGCCTGTTGACTTCTCTGCTTCCCGCTAGACAGTGGCAATGAGCCGTCTTGTTTCAGATCAACCACTGACTGAGCACAGGGCTTGTTTCAGATCGATCACTTCAGTGTTAACTGAGAAAAATTAAACTCCAAGCAAATGAGAAAGAACTGAAGGGCCAGGGTGTAGCTCAGTGGTAGAGCACTTGCCTAGCTTGTGTGAGGCCCTGGGTTCAATTCCCATAACCACCAAAAAAAAAAAAAAAAAAAAAGGGAGGAGGAGGCAAACTAGAAAACCCTGTTCTGGAGTCTCGTGCCTCCCTCCAGACTTCCTGCATCCTGCCATCTGTTCCCAGCTGCCTGTCAACACTCACTGACTGCACCTGCCCAGGGCTAGCCTTGGGGCGCTGGGAAGGGAGGAGGGAGGTAGGAATGTGAGTGGACACTAGTGACTGTCCTCAAGGCCTTGAGTTGAGGAGACCGTGTGCCTAATGAAACCTCTGGAATGAAGTAGAATGGAGTACAGCCGGCCCTCTCTGTCGGCAGTTTCTACATTTGTGGATTCAACCAACTGCCTATTAAAAATATTTTTAAAAAAATCTTTGTGTCTGTACCGAATTATGTATAGACTTGTGTGTGTGTGTGTGTGCACGCGCGCGCGCTGTTGGGTTTGAACCCAGGGCTTTGTGCATGTGAAGCAAACACTCTACCAACTGAGCTATATTCCCAGCCTTAGACCTTTTTTTCTTGCCAATGTCACCTAAACAATATGTCTAACAATTATTCATATAGCATTTACATCATATTAGATATTATAAGTAATTTAGAGATGGTTTAAGTTATATAGGAGGTTGTACATTGGTTATGTGTAAAAACTACACCATTTTGTATAAGGGACCTGAGCATTTACAAATTTTGGTATCTGCAGAGAGTCCTGGCACCAATCCCCAAAGGATGACAAAGGACGACTACTGAACTCAGGGCTAGTATTCTAGTCTAGCCTCACTTTTTTCTTTTTCTTTTCTAAGTGTTAAGGAGTGAATCCATGGCCTTGCATATGCTAGGCAAACACTCTACAACTGAGCTACCCACTTTTCAAGTGCCATAAATACCATCTACAGGAGCAACTCTTGGGCACTGGCTAGAAATGCAGTACCTCAGACTCTACTGGATTTCCTGAACCAGAGTCTGCATTTTAACAGTCTCCCTGAAACTCCCTCGAATGTGGGTACCCTCAAGTCTGAGAGGCACTAGTTTAAGGGGGATAGTGAAGAACAGTTTGGGCATGGGCAGCCATATTTAGAGAAGGTGGTGTCAGCCAGGGAGCAGTTGAGCTGGGTCTTAGAGGAGGCAATACCTCCTCTAAGATGATGAGAGGAAGATATTTGAAGCTAGTGTGGAGTCAGGAAAGGACCAGCTCTTCCTGCTAGTGATGATTAAATAAAGATAGGCTTTTCTTTGCAGTGGGATGTATCTGTGCCAAAGATCAATCTCAGTCCTCACACGTGCTAAACAAGCACCCTACCACTGAGCTATACCCTTAGTCTATTTCCTGATTTATGAAATGTGGAGCCGAGTCCTTACCAGCTCCATGGTACAGAGAATGGGGAGGGGATGCCCTTAGGGGAACAGAATTTCAGTAGAGCAATGAATCCATTTTCTAAAGCATCTGATCTGGTAACTTTTGAATCTATCAGATCTGCATTTTTTCATTATATAGCTAGAGATTCAGTTTCCTTCCTAGAGGCAGCAAATGCAGTTGAAAAAGCTCTTCAATTCCACTGGAGGTTGGAATTTGGTGATTTTGATTTTACACATAATGAAGCTGTGAGGTCTTGACTAAATCACTTCCCCAAGTGATCATTTTGTTTGATCTTGATTTTGTAGATTAGAAACTGGACACAGCTCAACTAAGCAATATATTCTGGATAACATTAGCGGGGGTCACTCACTGAGCTGGTGGCAGCCCTGGGTTAAGTGAGAAGATCCAAGGAGGCTTTATCCATATCTGGCACTGTGTTATGGCCTCTGGCTCTCCACATGGCTAGCTTGGGCTTCCTCAGAAGATAGTGGCCTTGAACTTCTTAGAAGGCCTCTGGCTTCCCAGAGGGTAGCAGTGGAAGCTGCAAAATCCCTTAAGAACTGGAGCTGACACATTATTACTGCACTCTGTTGGTCCCAGGGTCATAAGCCCTACCCAGATTCATGTCTTGATGGATGGAGCACACAGAGGTACAAGGAGGAAATAATCGGTTGGGTCTTTCTTTGGCGTCTTTCTTTTATCTACAACAGGAGCCGGATTCCTTTCTTCTGCTTCTCCATCCTTAGCCCTTACTTTCACCTCATGATCCTAAGTGGCTGTTGGGTCTCTAACCAGCTGGAGCCACTCTCCCTCTTAAGGAAATTTCTATTTAATCAGCCAGCTAGTCACATGGTCACATCTTGTTGTAAGGCTGTTGTAAGACAGCATGCACAGCTAGAAACCAGAGGTCTCTTCTAAGAGAGAAGGGGAAAATGAGCATCAGAAGGATCTGCCAGTTACTGTTTCTCCTTCTCCCAAACCAAGCCCCCTTGGAAGTTGTAGGGGGAAGAAGCCACTACCAGGCAAACCTAGAGACACAGGGAGGCAGGTCCCCCAAGTAATTTCCCTGGACACTCATGACCTCTCTCTGCTCCCAGTACACCACAGGCACGTGCAATGATTCAGTGATTCACAGCTGTGACCTGTGTGGCAAGGGCTTCCGCCTGCAGCGCATGCTCAACCGTCACCTCAAGTGCCACAACCAGGTAAAGAGACACCTGTGCACCTTCTGTGGCAAGGGCTTCAACGACACCTTTGACCTGAAGAGGCATGTCCGCACACACACAGGTAAGGCTGGGGCCGTGTGCTTTGCTATTAAGTCTATGTTTTTGGGCCAAGAGTTCCTGTACCTTTCCCCTCTAAGAACCAACTCAGAAGTGTGGAGCAGGGTCCTATTTCTGGAAAGGTCGTGTAGACTGAGTATTTGGTGCCAGCCCATCTGGGTTCGTTTCCTGACTCTACTACCTGCCAGCATGCCAAGCAAACTGTCTCCTGTGGCCTGTTTTTGCCCCTATAAAATGGGAATAATGATATAAGTGCTGGTGAGTCTCAAAGCAAAGTATTCTGAGAATTATGATGCATGAAACAAATGCTGGGGAATATTGTAATTCAGCCCTGACTGGTCTTGACTTCTGGAATGTGATTCTGTGGTCTTACTATAAGTATTTTATTCCTCTTTCTTGAGAAGTAAGCCTGCCTTGGTATTTAGCTTTGTGTTCCTCCTAAGAGATCAAAAGAAGAAAATGCTCAGCTCACTTAGAATTGACCTGAGCCTTCTATGTGAGCTTGGTCGATAAGCATCTTCCATTTGGGCCTCCTGTTTCCTGACTTTTTTTTTCCCCCTCTTCAGAGCTGGGGATGGAACCCTGTGCCTCACCCATGTGAGGCAAGTGCTCTACCACTGAGCTACACCCCCAGTCTATTTCCTGACTTATGAAATGTGGAGCCGAGTCCTTACCAGCTCCATGTTATAGAGAATGGGGAGGGGATGCCCTTTGGCCTCACTCCTAGCCCTTCTGATGGGTCATAAGCCTCATTAGTTTTATCTTAGGGACATCTGGCCTCTAGGCTTCTCCACTAGGTGTGGCCCATAGTCCACACCTTTGCCCAGTGATCCCTTGAGGAGAATTTTAAGGATGCCATTTCCTTGGTAAAAAATTTCCAACTTCTGGCAGAATGAAATCCAGATTCCTCATTTCTTGTTGGATGAGCTTCATGTAAAGTCCTTTACAATCTGGGTCCCTGTTGTCAAATCCCTATTCTATTCCAGCCTAACCCTCCCCTCATCTATCCCATCTCATCCTCTCAGAACCTTCCTCAGGTCATCCCATCCCATCCCAACCCATTTCCATAATTCCTATTCCATCTCATTTAAACCCATCTCATCTCAACCCCTTCAGCCCCATCTAGATTGCCACCCACCCTTCTAACAACCTCATAGAATTTACTCTGTGTAGTGACTCTGATCACTCAAGTCCTTTCAGAATTTAGGGTTTTCCCTGGCATTTTGGTGAAGTTAGTTTTCTAACTTCCCTCTTTCTAACTTCCACTCTTCCCTCCAGATGGAGTCCCCAGCTCCTCACTCACTCATAATGCTGTTCTTAAGCCCTCTGTATTCCATTTTTCTTTCATAGTTTTTAATAATATGTTATTGTTCTTAGGGTACTGGACATGAGCTACCTCCCTGGCAGGGGAAGAGTGTTTCCCAATTTAGTGAACTGGCATATGAAAAGATACCCTTTTAATTTTTTCATTTAAAATATTTTTCTTTCTTTTTCTTTTGTTACTGGGATTGAACCCAGGGGCACTTCACCATTAAACTACATCCCTAGCCCTTTTTATTTTTTTTATTTTTTTTATTTTGAGAGAGGGTCTCACTAGGTTGTTGAGGGTCTTGTTAAGTTTCAGAGACTGGCCTCAAACTTGTGATCCTCTTGCCTCAGTTTTCTGAGTGCTGAGATTATAGGCATGAGTCCCTGTGCCCAGCTATAATATTTTTCTAAAGTGAACTTTCCGTTGAAAAATGTAACATATATCTAGAAAAGTACACAAATCACAAGTGTCTAGATTAATGAATTTAGGAGTTTTTACAAAGTGAGTATGCTCATGCACCTGGCATCCAAGATAGGAATCAGAATATTTCCTGCCTCCTCCAAGTCACTACTTCCTTGCCTCCAAGGGCAGTCACTATCATAACTTCTAACAGCGTAATTGACTTGCCTATTTTGGAACTTAATATAATGGACTCCTATAGTGTATACTCTTTTTAAAAAAAAATTGTTTTTAATTGTAGTTGGACACATCACCTTTATTTTATTTATTTATTTTTATGTAGTGCTGAGGATCGAACCCGGGGCCTCACATGTGCTAGGCAAGCGCTCTACCGCTGAGCCACAACCCCAGCCCCATAGTGTATACTCTTTGAGGTTGTTTGGCTATAGTCTTCTTTTTTTAATCTCTAAAATATCATCTTTTTCTTCTTCTTCTTCCTCCTCCTCCTCCTCCTCCTTCTCTTCCTCCTCCTCCTCCTCCTCCTCCTCCTTCTATGTCTTCTCCTCTTTCTCATCCTCCTTCTTTTTTTATCCTAGTGAATCAGTAAAGTCTAACTTCTGAAAGGCCTGGCTAGTCATTAGGGGGACAAAGTGCTTATGGAGTGGTGAGGGTCCTATAAGTGATGATCTGGCAGAATAGTGTAGGATCCTAGAGGGGGCAGAGGGTCATAGAGTAGCTGCAAAACTGGGCCTGGGGCAGCTGGCCCCAGGGGCAGGAGGAAATCAGGAACTACTTATTAGGTCAGTTGTCATTTCTGCTAGGAAAGTTTCTTAGCTTCTTCATCCCTATCTGAGGATACCCCTGAGGACCTGGCCTGTTTATTCTGCTCCTCACCTGGTAGATTCTATAGTCACTCCCCTACCCATGCTCCCTAGGACAAAGTGAAGGGGGCTCAGGGAACATGGAGGGCTACTGGTACCTTCACTTGAGATGAACATTGAAAAAATAAAATTAAAAAAGTTGGGGATGTAGCTCAGTGGTAGGGCACTTATTTAACACATGTGAGGCCCTAGGATCAATCTCCAGTACTATGATTAAAACAAAAACCAAGAGCTGGGTGCTGTAGTACAGACTTGTAATCCCAGCAGTTCAGGTGGCTAAGGCAGGAGGATTGCAAGTTCAAGCCCATCCTCAGCCGTGAAGCCCTAAGCAACTCATCGAGACCCCCATCTCTAAGTAAAATATAATAAAGGGCTGAGGATGTGGCTTGGTAGTTAAGCGCCCCTGAGTTCAATCTTTGGTACCCAAAAAATAAAATAAAATAATAACAAAAACTCATGTCTATGTTAGCTGACCATGAGCCTGTCTATATCACTATCCTTTCATTTTAGCTTTTGTTTCTCTTTTTCTTATTTTCCATTTTGGTACTGGGGATTGAAGATACATCTATAATCACCAGCAACTCATGAGGCTGAGGCAGGAGGATTGCAAGCTTAAGGCCACCCTCAGCAACTTAGTGAGACCTTTTCTCAAAATGAAGAAGGCTGGGGATGTAGATCAGTAGTAAAGCTAGTGGTTTCAATCCCCAGTACCCCTGCAAAAAAGCAAGTGCTTAGTAGATTTTAATTATTGTTAAATTATTTTAATTATTGTAGATTTTAATTATTGTTAGTAATATTGTTGATTATTGTTAGTAGTAAAAGTTTCAGCAATTGACAGGTTTCCTGAGAACCCAAGATGTGGCAGGCCCTCTGTGCATGCTCAGCTCTGTAATTAGGAGGGCTCAGCCAACAGTGAGAAATACCCCAGACATCCTCCTGTCGCACAAGTGAAGTATCAGAGGAGCCAGTAAGAAGAAGAAGTGGCATCCTGGCAGGTGCATTTTTCCTGATGGCTTACCAGGAAGGCCTCTCAGATGAGGGGCCTTTAGGCTGATCTTGAAGGATAGTGAGATTTCCATGGAAGTATGGAAGGAATGGGAAGCCACTGCAAATAGAAGTGTCTTGGTTTGAATTACCCCAGAAGAGTACCCCAACACAAGGATTTGGATATACACAGTTTATTTAGGAGGTAATCCCAGGATGCATGGTGAGGGAATGGGGAGGGGAGATAGGGAGAAGACAGCTAATATGAGTGCATTAATAATGAGCAGGTTACCACTGAGAGCAACTGGGGAACAGTCCCACTAGGGACCCTCTGAGGAACCACATAGAATGTACAGGTCCTGGGTGCTGTGGTATTTGCCTGTAATCCCAGGGACTCCAGAGACTGAGGCAGGAGGATTGCAAATCTGAATCCAGCCTGGGCAATTTAATGAGACCCTATCTCAAAATAAAGGACTAGGGATGCGAATGTGCCCCTGGTCACTCCAAGAGTAGGAAAGCTGGGATATTGTTCTGTCTACCTCCATTCCACCTTGTTTGGGAGTCCATCCTGATACCTTCAATGCCCAGGCAGTACTCCCGCCCCCGCCCTTTGCAAGCCTGTCGTGTTTTCTGGGGAACTAGCTGCAGGTAGAAAGGTGCTGGAACCACCTGAGATGCCCTGGTGGTCTGCTGAGTTAACCTGTATAGGGTGTTGACAGTGTCTTCACCAGGGAGGCAGAAGAATTAGCAGGTGAGGTGGTGGCTCATCGGTGACTGGGAGACTCCTTCAGATGGCAGAGAGCTACACATGATCACTGTCCTGCATGCCAGGTCCTCAACATTGATCCCATTTTCTCAAACAACTCCAAGGAGCCATTACTATTTTTTATTAGCCCCATTTTACAGATGAGGGAACCAGGCTCGGAGAGCTCACATGATCCATATGTGGTAGAGCTGAGAACCAAGACAGTCTGGTCCCGAAGTTCAAGGTCATTTATCTTCTATAGGATCCCTGTTTCCCTCATTGTATCCCAGGGCCTTCAGGTATTCTTCTTGAGGCAGGAATCTCACCAGCCTGCCCCTTTACAGTTTCTAGAAGCTTGATTAATTCTGAAGGAAGGTGAGATAAAGGGAAATTCAGAGCTGGCATGAACTGTGCACTCCAGGATAGTAGTTAGGAGGTTCTAGAGAAGCCTGTGAGTGTATGTGTTCAATGTGCCAAGATGCCCTCTGACCACGAAAGGGACAGAGCAGGAAATGGGGAGGCCTGTAACTCCCTGGTTCCCAGCTTCTGTTCTTCAAAAGTGAAACTTCTAGTGACTTTGTGTAGTGCTGAAAATCACATAAGTTGGTGCATAAATACACTTTCCAGCTGATGCTTTTGTAAAGGTCTTCTTCACCTAGTTTGTCGATTGGGGAAAGACCTAGACA